ATTGTTGTCCAGCATCTATCAGGACTGTCTCTTCATGTTATCCTCATAGATGGAGATTTGACTCATCAATACCATCATCCAGGATTCAACCGTGTTACTAATATGAAGATAGTTGCTAAGAGTATTGATAACACGTTTAAAAGTGTGGAAGAAGAATGGTTAAATAATGCCATCGAAATATTTCGTAAATATCATGTTAACGTAATTCTAGTAAAAGGAATAGCATCTCCATGTTTAATGGAGAAGTGTATCCAAAATAATATACTAGTAATTCAGCAAGTGAAAGACAACGTAGTGCAAGGCTTTGTGGAGGCCACAGGGGCTATTCTTATTACTTACATCACACAGGTAAAAGAGAATTGTGTGGGCACTGGAGCACACCTTTGTTTTTGGAAAGCGGGTCATGGAAATTCACCAGACATGAGAGAAAGAGTTGCTGTACAGATAAGCTGCTTTAAAATTGCTGTTATCACAGTGGTGCTTTGTAGCCCTGTAAACTGTAAACTGCAGGTAATAGGAGATCAATTGTGGAGCTGTGTACATCGTTTGCACCATGCCCTCAGTGAGCAACGAATCTTTCCAGGTGCAGGAGCCACTGAACTTATGTCCCTCTGCCACCTGAAACGGCTCATATCAGAAAAGGCTGCTCTAAAGCCCCAAATAAATGCTACTGATTGCACTGGTCCACATTGTTCATCAAGGCGTACAGAGGCTGATGTACTTTACAAATCCCAGATTCTGCAGTTTTTGGCTGATGGCTGGAGAGAATACCTTATGACTGCCATGTATAATACCGGCATGTATAGAACACCACTAGATGCTATGTCAGAAGTACAAAGATGTGTCAATGAAGATGTGGGTCTCTTTGCTATAATCCCCAATGTGTCCGACGAATCTACTGCAGAAAGGGTTGGTCAATGTTCCTGGCAATTTGGTGGCACTGTGAGTGAGAACCGTATGAACTCCAAGGTGTATGATAATGTGACAGTTAAGCTAGAGAGCTGGCGAAGGGCTCTAGATCTCGTGTTACTCGTGCTGCAAGCAGATGTTGAAATCATCACCGGTTACAGAGCTAATACCTCTAGACTTATTGAAGAGCAACAAAAACAAATTACATTTGTATAGCGCTTTTCACTTTCCTGTTGGGAGGACATCCCAAGGCGCTGGACAGTCAGGGATTTGGACCCGAGCAAGGGGTTGAGATCAAGAGGGGCGGAGGCAGGGAGGGTAGATGTAGGAGGGTGGCTGAGGATGCGGTTGAAGAGGAGGGTCTTGAGATATACCTTGAAGGAGGCAAGGGAGGGAGTAAGACGAAGGAACTGTGGGATGGAGTTCCAAAGAGCAGTAAACAGCTTACTGTGACTGCGCTACCGACGTCTGTGGAGAGCAGTCAGATCCCTCCCCAAAGCCCATTTTGGAGAGTACGATTGAAGCAGTGAAGAACACATGCACCATCCAGCTACCTGGTCAAGAAACGTCAGGGTGAGAGCCTAGTATGGTTCAGTGCTAATCCTTCCCGCTTCATGTTGTGAGATTTCTGTCTTTAGGTACTTTTCCTGGCCTGATTGTTGACTCCTTGTCTTCACTTTTGGCACCTACAATCCCCTGCCCCCTCCCCACTCGACCATTTTCTTGAAAATCACAAGGCTTCATTTTTCGAAAGTAAGCCGCAGATGTGAAAGTGTGAACTTTCCATGTTATTCCACACTCTCACATGAAAGAAAATGTGGGGCCAGGAAGGTGCGTGCGTGTGTGTGTGTGTGTGTGTGTGGGTGGGGGGAACGAGGCAAGGGAGTATGACTTTAAATATGATTTAGGAATTACAGAAACAAAAGTCACCAGAAGATGGAATTAATTAAAATGCTGGGGTTCAGGAAGCTCTAAATAAAGGAAATCTTAGTAAATTAATAAAGGATAATAATTGAGTAAAGAAGGTCTAGCAACCTAACGGTCCAGCCTTGGATTGAACTAATTGATATAGATTTATGTAAATCAAAATCAGACCAATAACCAGCACTGAAACATGCAGATCATCTACTTGTTTCTATACTGGATATCAATTCTAAGGGAAAGGTGTTTGTCTTGCATGAAGTCCAGTGAACAATGTGGAGAGAATGGTGCAGAAAGTGTTGCACTACAGTATTTTGATATGAGTCATAATTTAGCAAATTGGGGAAAATGGGAGAGTTTAAACCTGGGAGAAAGGGAGCTGAGGAGAATAACGGAAGGATATGACTACATCACAGAGATTCAAGACAGACTGGCAACAGACTTCAACGTTGCAAGGCTTATTATTCACACGTGTGACAATGTAATGCAGCAGTTTGATGGAAATGTTGTCAGTTTGATTGCGTAGTCTATTGCACTTGCTGGAAATCCATAGAATTAACACTTGCTGCCAGTATTGAATGTTTAATGGGTATCAGTAGGACAGTTTTATTTCCAGGGGTTGTCAGATAGCGCACCATAAACCTGTCCCGGCCTTTGCTCCTACTGTGTCCAAAAACAGAAGCATTGCTGTTACACTGAAAATACCAGAGATGAGTTGTTTCATCTGCAATGACCAAAAGTAGTTTAGCTTAAAGACTACATTGGGTAACAGATTAGCCATTAGCTATCGGTTTGTTAAGATAAGTAACTTCATTACTCTACCCCAAAACTATACAAAGTATTTCCCAAATTGTGATTTTAGTATCTCACACCGAAAACTATTCACAAAAGATAACTAAGAAGCTGTGAATAAAATTATTCTACTTTACGTTTCCCGCTAGAGATTCGAGTTCTTGAAGTACACATAGACCCTGGGACTGGATCTTTGACCACTTTCTCCATTAGTCAGCAAACCAGAGGAAGTCCTCTACACACGTTTGAAACTGTTGTGTTGTGGCTTACTCGAAAGAAATAATAATAATAATAATCCTTGTATTTGATATAGCGCTTTTCACGTCGGGAGGACGCCCCAAAGCGCTTCACAGAACACACTGTAAAGTGAATTGACTGTATATTTGTGGGCGAACGCGGCAGCCAATTGCGCACAGCAATGTCCCACAAACAGTCGTAGATTGAAAATGACCAATTTATTATTGTTTTTGGTTTTGGAGGGATTATTATTAGGCTCTGTGTGGAGTAAGGAAACTTGCCCAAGGTTTGGCCCTCTGCCTGGAATTGAACTCAGGTCTCTCACTTGCAAAGCGAGTGCTCTAACCACTGAGCTACAGGACTCCACAGGTCAAATCCCCCAACAAGTCACTAAAAGTTTCGCTGCTCCAGTTTGATCGTCCATCAAATCTCACTGATTCAACGCAGCATATCTTTTCACTTGCGGTTGTGGTCATTGGTCAGATATCGGCTTCAGAATCACGCTTACATTTCCCCATCAACGCAGTCCAAATTGAGTGTGTTGTAAATATCTAATACAATTCACGTGCATACGGCCTTCTCACTTCGGGGGAATGTCCCAAATCGCATTAACTCTTGAAATGCACACGATTGACAATTTGTTGTCCATCGATATTAACACTTCACTTCATGTCACTTATTTCAATTATCTTGCGGGTTATCTTGCGAATCTCTAGCGGGTATTGATGATTGATGAGCTACATCACTATTTAGTACTGATAAATGATCCAGCAGCTAGTTTATCCTGCTAAACCTACTAAACAAATGCACTTACTCTGTTGAGGGTTTACCACAATCAGATTTTGCCGAGCTGATGGCCATAGAGAAGGGACAAGTAGCAATGAAGAATCTGCAGAATTCATCTTGGGTGTAGATTACAATAACATAATAATAATTCTTGCATTTGATATAATGCCTTATCACATCTAGATGTCTCAAAGCGCTTCACACAATATACTGTAAAGTGAATTGACTGTATATTTTGTGGGTGAAACGCAGCAGCCAATTGCGCACAGCAGCGTCCCACAAACAGCCGTGGATTGAGTGACCAAATTTATTATTATTTTATTGTCAAGGGAATATTACCCCAGAAAACGATTAATCAGGATGACACTTGGGATATTGATGGGATTTTCCCTTTCCCTTTACAATTTTATCTGTAAATATATATATATATATATTGAATACTAAGAAATATTGGTTAATATTTGTTTTGACCCTTCACGTCTTCGTTTAGTTGCTGAATGTCATGCTTTGTATTTCCAGCACAGAATCATAGAACTTACAGCGAACAAGGGGGCATTTGGCCCATCAACTCTGTTGGAGCTAACTAATCTAATCCCAATTCCTATCTTCTTCTCCATAACCTTACATATTCTCTGCAACTCTTTATCCAATTATAACCAGTTATGTTAATAAAAGGTGGTTGCCTTTTAATACAAACTTTCACCAGACGGTGGAGCTATGAATGAGAGTTACCTGTTGTCATAAATTAACCGAATAATACTTATTAATAGAGTACAATAGTCTAGTGTCCTGTCTATCCACTTTTAACGTCAGCAGATTTGCCAGTTCAGGTTAATAGCAAAACAAGTAGCTTTAAATATCTAATAATAATCCCTCCAAAAAACAATAATGATTTGGTCACTTCAATCCACGACTGTTTGTGGGGACACTGCTGTGCGCTATTGGCTGCCGCGTTTCGCCCACAAATATACAGTCAATTCACTTTACAGTCTATTCGGTGAAGGGCTTTGAGACGTCTCGAAGATGTGAAAAGCGCTATATTAAATACAAGGATTATTATATCAGATTTGTGAAGGTATTTATCATTAGCAGATTGTTTACATTATATCTTCTACTTATAACTTCTGTGAGAGTTTTTTTTACTTTTGTCCTTCATAATTATAAACCCTGGAGCATGGTTTCGCCACTATTCTCTTCCAAATGAGATTCAGCATTCTTAACAGCGATTGTGATTTGAACCGTGGCAGAAGAAAAGACGAGCTAACTAAAGGAGAAATTAAATTCTTGAGTGTGTGTCCAAGGTAGTCCTGAAGCACAATTAGTTGATAACATGGCAGGAGAGGGTTAGGGTTCGCATCAAGAAGATCCTTGTATGCCAAACACATGCCCTCAGGATCGACTGTGCCAGGAGAGGGCCGTGGCGGGATCACAGGATGTTGGTATTAATAAATCTTTGCATTCGATAATAGCTCCTGTTGATGTCAAGCCACCTCAAAGCACTTCACAGTTAATTCCCGTCGAGCCGTTCCTATAAATAGCCAGAAAGCGAATGACTGGTTTTATTTAGAGAATCGTTGGCCAGGACGTGGGAGAAACTCTTTTTTTTCCTTTTGGAATATCATGATGCAATCCTTAGCGCCCATCAGAAAAGGCAGACCTCAGTTTATCTACTCATTTGAAGGATGGCATCTGACAATGCAGTGTCCAGCCCCGCACCCCCCCCACTGGAACGTCAGCCTTGAGACTTGAAGTCTTGATCCGACAACTTTTGACCTAGAGAGCTGCCAACTGATTTGGCAGAAACATCACCGTGCATTGTTACAACGTAAAGCCTTACCCTAACAATGACACTCGCAACTCAAGTTATTTAGTGTATTACCCTCACGGATGAAATATGGAGAAGGGATATTGAAAGGGTTGCGTTGAGCCACAATGAGTGCCGTGAGGAACGGTAGAGGAGGTCCGAATGCAATCATAGGTAAATGTAGACCGACAGCCGAAAAATAAATAAAATAAAAGTAAAGCATAAAGCAGCAGAGGAACAATCTAAAAAAGTACGGGAGAACAAGGGATCAATGCAAAGTTTGAAAGGCGTGACAGGACAAATGAATTTCACAGGTAGAATAAGGGGCAAAGTTAAAGGAATGAACTCAGATGCAGTAATAAAACCACAAACGTGTTAACGATGTGGTAAACTGGGACATGTCGGTCAGTGCTGAATGTAGATCCAAAAGAGTGTCAGAATTGTGGAAAAAAAGGGGCATATGCTGAAAACTTATAAACTGGGGGACAAACATGAAGAGAAAAGTGCTAGTTTGGAACTAAAAGACTTAGTAGGACAAATGAATTGGGAAAACTGAGCTGAACTGAGCTATGCAAGGCCAGGCAGGGATGGTTCCCAGCGACCCACTGATATGCCTCCAGATGAAACAGAAAGATGATTCACTGGCCC